AAGTTGCTCTTGAAGTTTCTCAATTCTACCAACCCTTTCTAAAATCTCATTCATGGTTCTTATCTTTCTCTAGAAAGACCAAGTTAACTCCAATTTGAATTCGAAAATTCTGTCATGAAATCCTCTACGAATTATTCTCATATTTTCATAATTTAATGCATGTAAAATAGTTTGAAACAAAATGCAAATGCATGATGTAAGATTAAAACTATAAATATAATTATACAAAGATCTGAATTCAAATGCAAATACAAAGATGCAAATGCATAAGCAAAAATGTTGATCTCAAAGATGGATATTGTAGAATAATTTTCACCAGAAATAAAAACTTTCACATTCTAACACAGTGCACTTTACAGACATGCCTTCGCTTAGATGTTGAGCCTAAAATGGATTGCTTCATCTTAAATCTTCGTTCTTGAAAATGCCCATCAATTATTTTGTAGCCTAACTCCGTTAATACCCAGGCGGTACTGAAGTGCATTACTCCTTGATGAAATGATCATATATAAGAATCTATTGTTGGATTACTCCTTGGATCAGTGGATCGTCATTTCAGTCTCAAATGCTACACAATCTTTGAGCTCACTGCTTTGTCTTGGATCTTCGTATTTGGAACTGATGCCCTTCAATGCTCTGTAAACTAACTCCATTAATGTTTCAGCGATGTTGAAGTCAATATGTTGCTCCTTGATGACTAGTTATGAGATGATCATAGATAAAAATTAATTGTTGGATTACTTCTTGGATCAAAGTATCAGCTTTCCAATCTCAAATGTTGCAAAATTTTCTAATAAATCTCATTCTGGTACTCTGGACTTCTCTTAACCCTCGGTGCATGTCTGTGTATGCGACTGCTTGATTGGAAAATTTTATATCTTCTATGCAAAATTTCCACTTGAGTATCCCCTTGCGAATCAACACTTTTGCATTATGTCATGAAGTTGCAATGCAATGCAATGCAAAGAAAGATAAAAAATGACACAATCAAAAGAAATAAGTTAGTGTACACAAACAAAAGAAAAAAAATTAGTTAATACATGTAAGATAATCAATACAGATAAAAATGTTATTCAAAGATGAATAAAACACCTACCCCGTCATGATACCTACCCGAACATTCTTTAATTAAATAGTAATCATACTCAGACATGTTTTCTACCCAAATGATTAATTTCAAGAAAATAATCATAACCTTATGGTATCTAGTTCACATGCTTTTATTCGAAAAGAAAAATATATTATATGAATTTAAAGTAAAAGAAAAGGGTTTAGAAATGCTCATCCTTTGTGTACACCTATTTTGGGTACCTACTGACAGACAGAGATTCAATATAGCTATATCTAGGGTGACCATTCTACGGTTCACTATATGCATAGTTTCGACTCTATGAGGAAAAAGATACTCGAATTGTCCTTGATGTCGGTGCCCCCTTGGGCTGCCAAACCCTCAATCCTCACCTATTACAGGTTTCGAGCGGAATGAGTTCAATTCGAGAGGATTCACTACCTTATACCCATATGAGGAATAAATCCCTACGAAGGTATAAAGTATGTATCCCATTGGTTATTTGCTAAAACTCATACGAAGAATAAATTCTTACGAGAGTAAAGCATTCACCCCGACTAATTTGGAACGAAGCTCAGGTTTAGAGCTCATGTTATGCCAATGCACGTGATGTGTGTGAGGAGGAAATTCAACCCTTTGACTCCAAATGAAAACGAAACAACTCGACAAAAACTTGGTCAGATCTGAAAACAAAGATTCAAATGTTAGTATAACAATAAAAAATAAAACAGTTAACAAAAACTTCAATAAATAAATCATAAGTTAACTAAAGACTTGAACTCATAATTTCCACCACAATGACAATGTGTAAGCAACTTACAGCTTGACTCTCTAAAAAAAGTCTCCAACGAAGTCGCCAAACTGTCATAATCGTTTTTCAAGTGGAACAATAGTTTATTGTTTTTAAAAAATAGTTACGACTTTTAATTTTGGAAAATTCAGTGATTTTGGATTAATTTGGATTAAATTGAAAAGAGTCGCCATCGACCTTGACCTTTGAGTTAGGTAGGTCGAATACCTAAAACTGCCTTTTAAAAATAATTTTAAGAAAAAAATCATTTTAAGAAAAAATCATTTTTAAGACAAAAGCTAGTCTGCGTTTACCAAAGATTATATTAAAACGGGTTCGGGAGTCGGTTACGCGTGGGGAAGGATTAGCACCCCATAGTGCCCAAAATTGGTATTGTATCGCTTACATATCATCGTAAATGGTATAAATCATGAATTGAATATATATATATATATATAGTTAATATATGATCCATTTATTGAGTATTAATTAATTTACTTCAAATTAATTAACTAATTAGAGAAAATTCTTTAATTTGAAAAGAAATCTCGACATTAGTAATCCTTTGTCGGGAAGGCTATTTCATCTATTTCTTATTCATAAAGAAAATTTCATCCTCATTGATTTTTAAAAAATGCAAATAGAATATAAATTATCGACAATTTGCAAACAACAAAATAAATTACTACATACAAATGCCTTGAATCACAAAAGATTTAATTAGTAAAACAAACTAGATATATTTTAAATCTTATTTCGTTCGAACATCGTATCGGATTATACTACTTTAATCAAATGATACTTTCCACGTCCGTACTATAAATCAGTTCTTGAAAGACGTTCGGATAACAATACTAAAAATATTATCAAAGAGATTTAATAAAAGTTAAAATATAGGTATAATGCGTAAAACATTTATATATATATCATGCATATTTTAATAAAAGTTAATATATATATATATATACATATATCATACACGTAATTCAAGATAAAATATAATAATTTAAAGAAATCTTAACACATATATAGATGTATCGTGCACACTATATTAATATAAATAGGGATAATTTGGTCTAATAAGTATATGAATTACAAATGGGAAAATCAAACATGCATGTACTAAAACAAACGGGCAATAAGTTTTAAAAGGGAAGTGCATATATTTTTAATAAATCGAATAGATTGTGAAATTAATCTATAAAAATAAATAGGGATAATTTGGTCTAATAAGTAAACAAGCATAAAGGATAAAAACATAATGCAAATAAAATAAAAGGCTCAAAATAATATGAAAGTAACCCAAAGCAGAACTAAAATGCATTTAGAGCAAAAGTACAAGAATTACAAACATAAAATGCATTTCCTTTGCATAGTAGCTAGTGACTAAAATGAACCAAAAGAAAATATATGTCATGTGTACGAAAAATAAAAATTAGCACATAAATCTTAATTTTAAAAATAATAATTAATAATTAATAATTAATAATTAATATTAATGTTTATCAGCAAAATTTACATAGGGAACAATATGCAATAAAAATAAATCATGGTTACCAATTTAAAATTAAATTGGGAGGTGATAAAAAATCAGATTTTCAAAGAGTGCAAATAGAGCATTTAAATTAAAGAAACAACAAAAATAAAGACTAAAATGCAAGAACATAGCAAGGCGTGGGAGACCTAAGGTGATTTACCCAAAAATACCCATGAGACATAATATCTCCTCTGGTTTTTTATTTTACACGTGAACTTAACCTAAAAGCAAAAACCATTCAACTCTTCTCTTCCTCTTTCTACTCCACAGCGCCTCACACCAAAACTAAAACCAACTTGGCCACCATGCTCTGATGATGGCCTTCATCTTCTCAGGTAACCTCTTGACTCATCTTTATTTATTCTTTTTTTATATTATTTTCTGTTATTTGAGGGCAATTAGGTTAGATTCGAAAATAATAAAAATGTATATCTATATTGGTTGTTTTTTTAATATATATATATATATATTACTATACCTGAAAAGAACCGAAAAGAAACTATACTCAACCTAATCGAACATTCAAGGATTTAAAGTGAACAAATCAAAGGAAAAAATGCATTAAAATAGTAAAAATAATAGGAAAAAATAATTGATACCCCTTTTGAGTCTGTTATTGCTTGAATATAGAGTTTACAGTGTATTATTTGCAAGGATTTTTCCCAGTCTCTCTATTTGAATCTATTTTTTGTTATTCGAATCCTTCTCCCTCTCAATATGTTCGAATGCCCTTAATTTATCATTGATCTCTTCACCAAATCTCCATGGTTGCATCTGGATTTTCTTTGCGGTTGGTATGAAAATGACAAGTTTAGGTAGTATAATTAATTTGCTTGACTTTGTCTTATTGAGGCAGGTGATCTGTCACTATGGATGATTTGTGCAAATTGACTCTGACGGTGGCACGGCAGATGATGTGTTGAAACCTTAATCTATTTAGGGTTTTAAGTTGGGTCAGATTTTGGGTTACTGGGTCTGGATCGGGTCTCCATCTGCTTCATAGGCTGCTTGGATTTATAATCTGTTGGGTTTTATTTTGTGGGTCTGCATAAAATATAAATAAATAAATTAATAATAATAATAATAATAATTTAATATTTTTGACCGAAACAAAAATGAATCTATACATATACGACAAGACATACTCTCCCTTGCCTATAGAAGAACCCTTCATAATTTGTGATAGAGGGCAGTAGCAGCAACTGTGCAGTGACCATCAACTCTCTGATGCGAGTCAAATCAAAGGGTGACCTATCAATGAATCTATGAACCCTAAGGGAGGTCAAGTTTGTTTAACAGAAATGTCATTTTGGACGACATTATTGGAGCGAGTCTTGTATCCTCTTGAGAAGGTTGTGGTTTTAACTTTGAATTCCAAATATCATAAAGGTCCAAATTTCTGGAATGCTGACATTCGACCATCTGTAAGTTGGAGCTTAAGGCGACTTTTAAAACTGAGAAATGAAGCTTATCAAATCCTTTTTGCTGGTACAATGAAAGTGATTGACATTTGGGATGTTATTCGTGATAAGAGACCTCAAGTCCCATGAAAGAAAATAATATGGTTCCCTCTTCACATCCCAAAACACAGTTTAATCACTTGGATGACACTACTTGATAGACTCCCTACGAAAGTAAGACTCCATCGAATTGAGCTTATCAATGATTGCCATTGTGTGTTCTGCAATGCTCAATTGGAAACAAGGGAGCACTTGTTCCTCCAATGTCCTATGGCAGAACAATTATGGAATTCGGTTTTCTTCCACTCTGGTCTGCAATTTACTATCACCTCTTGGGATGATTTCTTTGTGTGGGCAAGCTCTACTTGGAAAGGAAAATCACTGCTAACTTCGATTATGAAACTTGCTCTTAACGCCCTTATCTACTTTCTCTGGGAAGAAAGAAATAAGAGGATCTTCAAAGGTTGCTCCAGAAATGTTCAAGAGCTATTCCTTGCCATTAAGGACGTTGTTCGCTTTCAACTGAGGGATAGGAAAATAAATCGAAATGATATTGCTAATTCTTCCCTTTGTAAGCACTGGGATATTTCTTGTTCTTAATTCTTCTTGTAAGTAGAATGCTTCTTGTAAGTAGAATGCTTCTATAACAGAACACTGTTGTTTGTAGCAAGTTATGTTCTTGTAACAGACTGGTCACTTGGGTAATGAAAATTGATGATTTATCCAAAAAAAAACCTGTAAGCGTCTTCTTTAGGAATAAGCACTGTAAATGAATAAACTTAGACGGTGTTATGTTTAAGAAAAATAAAATGTAAAATAGTAAAAGCGTTGAAAATGGCCAAATGGAGGGGAGAAGTAGACAGTAATTTGACTAATTATAACACAAGAAAAAATGGAACAACTTTCCAGAGAGAGAGAGAAGGTAAATAGGCATTGTTGGCTAATTTAGTAGGCTTGATTGTAATCGTCTGACAAATGCGTGAGCGTACTAAAGTTTGCTTCTTCTTCTTTTTACGATTTGACCTGACACACTTTAATCGAATATCTCCCTTTTTAGTATCGTTTGTTCTATATTTTTCGAAGTGGCACCCTTTCGGTTGAGGTGGCGAAAGACGCATCCCAGGGACGCGCTTTACCTGGTTTTACGCTGAGTTGGATGCCACGTGTGAAAGGCGCATCCTCGGGGATGCGCTTTACCTTTATTTGTTGATTCAGTTGCCACGTGTGAAAGGCGCATCCCCGGGGACGCGCCTTTCATTAAATGTCTTAAATGCTCATCCGATTTTTCCCCAACTACCCCTCCTCATCTCCTATATAAACCCCCTCAACCCCCCCTCATTATTCACACCAAAATCTTCTTCTCCTTACTTATATAACTCAAATTCTCTAAATCTTTGAGTTTTAAATTTCTTATTAGTGGTAAGAAATTTATTTTTCAGTTATTTTTTTTAAATAGATATTATATTTTATATTAATATAATTATATAAATATTATTTTTTATTAAAATAATATTTATATAATTATTATTTATTTAAATTTATTAATTAATTATTTTTTGTGCTAATTATTATTTTTTGTCTACAGTTATAATGAAAAGTGAAATGCTGCTGCGATTGGATGTTGACCATATCTCCAGACATTTTAGCGATATGGTAATATTTTTTTATAATTAATGTTAATATTTATTGTTATGTTTAATTTAAATTTATTATGAATTTATATTGATTTTAATTTTTTATAATGCATATTATTTAGGATATTGATTGTATTTTAGAGACATTTATTAAAAATCCACGTATACTGACAACGGAACGTATTTTGCCATTTTTGGCTTCTGTCGGGTTCGGATATATTGCAATAATCATTGGTGGTTAAAAACTCAAACCTATCCTAATTTCTGTATTGATTGAGAGGTGGAGACCCGAGACACACACTTTTCACCTTCCATGTGGAGAGGCTACAATTACATTGGAGGATGTCTCTATGCATCTGGGGCTTCCCGTCGACGGAAATATGATGTGTGGTATGGCGGATGGTGATTGGCAGTCAATGTGCATTGATTATCTTGGAGCTACTCCGCCAGAGTTTAATGGAGGTAGAATAGCTTTATCTTGGTTGAAAGCTAATTTTGAGGTTTTAAATGAAAATGCTTCAGAGGATCAAGCAAAGGCATGTGCTCGGTCATATATTCTACGAATAATTGGAGGAATATTGATGCCCGACAAATCTCGCAACCAGGTGCATTGTATGTGGTTGTGGCATCTGATCGATTTTGATGAAGCTGGAAGATATAGTTGGGACGCTGCAGTTTTGACATTTCTCTTTAGAGAAATGTGTCGGGCGACGAATTATAAGAAAACTGCTATCGGTGGATGTCTCCTGCTTCTGCAATCATGGGCATGGTTCCGCATGCCTTTCTTATGCCCAATCGTGAATGAACCATACGTATTCCCCTTATTGTTGAGGTAATTATCAAACTAAATTTTGATTTAAATATTTTTAATTAAATAGGGTGATATTTAGTTTATATTATATTTCATAGGTGGTCGATGAAAAGAAAGAACCATAGAAGTATACCTACTGGGTTAGAGGAAATCCGTCTACTTATTGATACAAAAGCTGGGTCTGAGGTATGTTTTTACACCTGTTTAAATATTAATATTTTAATTTAAAATGCTAGATATAATTAGAATATTTTATTTATTTGAATTGTATATTTATATTTCAGTTTCAATGGATACCTCATGCGAGCGATGAAGTGAAGGCTTGCATCCCACCCCACCTTGGTGAGTCATTAGAGGTTTAGATATCGGTTATACCTCTTATATGTTATGCTATTATTGAGTGGCATCCAGTTGATCGTGTGCTCCGTCAGTATGGTTGTACGCAATATATTCCTGGAGCACCTAGGAATTTAGACGACGTGCATAACATAGATAGACGAGGAAAGAAAGATGTTAACTGGGTGGTGAGCCACAGAGATTGGATTGCGCTTTGGGAGAACCGGTATGCACAGTTGGCCCCTTGACAATATTACGCTGAAACTGGTCATATGGTTACGGATAACTATATGGACTGGTTTAATGAAAATGTGAAGCCATTTCTATTTTCGGCGGAAGAACGAGGGGTTAGCATTCCTAGGCGCCGAGAAAGACGTCAACCGTCTCAATATCATCGTCCTCCGACGTATGGATGGAGAGAAGGTGCTACCGGTTCTGCATCAGTCCCACCACAATATCCTTATCCACCAATGCCACAATGGTATATGCCCAACCCTCCACTTCAGATGCCATCTCCTCAGGGGTATATGCCAAGTTCACCAGTTCATATGTCATCTCTGCAGGGTTACATTCCTAGCCCGCAGGGTTACATTCCTAGCCTGCCAGGTTACATGCCTAGCCCGCAGGGTTTTATACCATATGGAGGTGCATATACGGCTATGTTTAATGATCCAGCATATGGTTCATATGCATCTTATTTGGCTGGTGGTGCTTCTCCTCAGACACCTCAATCTCCATCTGGATCACAGACATCGATGCCAATGTTTCCACAGTTTTCACAGTTCCCGGGGAGTGGTGGGATGGTTACTAGTACTCCTCCAGGGTCGTTATTTTATACAGCCCCTTCAGCGTCATCTACGCCAAATGAAGAAAATGCCGATGATGATGATAGTGAAGATGAGGAGACTGAAGAACAAGTTCCACAAAGAAATTCTCTGCGAAATAGACAACCACCGCCATGTGGAACTCATTCGAGAAGACGACATCGGTGATCCAGTTGTATTTTAATATTATTTAAATAGTTATATTTCAGAAATTTATGTAATTTGGTTATGTTATTTAAATGTTTCATGGTTGTTACTGCCAATATTTTCAATGTTATTTTTATTCAAATTTAACATTAAATGTTTAATAAATGTTTTTAAAATACAAATTATAGTATTCGAAATTTAAAATTAAAATACAAATAATATTATTCGAAATTTAAATTTAAAATATAAATTATAGTATTCAAAATTTAACATTAAATTCAAGTTAATATTTCAATTGTATTCGAAATTAAAAGTTATATTCCAATTATAGTTCACAGTACTTAAATTGAAATTAAATTTCTCCATACATATGATTTTATCATTAACATATATATTAAAACGTATACATTAAAATCAACTTATCACTTCACATTTATTCGTAAAATCATGTCGATGCTCATTCCATACAATTTCAATGTCACAATAAACTTATCACTTCACATTTATTCAATTTATCCATAACATTTTATCTAATTTATTCAAACTTCACATAACGTTTTAATTTAAGTTATGAACATAAATTTATCTATATATATAATTTTATCCTTAACTTGCTGAACTTCCAAAAGAAGTTAAATTTTGGTTATAATTTACCTGATTTCACCATCTATCTATAGTTCCCCAGGAAGTCGCCCCCGGGAACGCGCCTTCACGGTCCCCTAAGGAATAATAGGTATTGACATGAATAGTTCCCGAGGGACATAAGTGACATAATAGGGTAATGATAACATATTCTCTGACAAAATAATGGAAGGCGCGCCCCCGGAAATGCGCCTTCACGGTCCCCTAAGGAATAATAGGTATTGACATGAATAGTTCCCGGGGGACATAAGTGACATAATAGGGTAATGATAACATATTCTCTGACAAAATAATGGAAGACGTGCCCCCGGGAACGCACCTTCACGGTCCCTTAAGGAATAATAGGTATTGACATGAATAGTTCCCGGGGGATATAAGTGACATAATAGGGTAATGATAATATATTCTCTGACAAAATAATGGAAGGCACGCCCCCGGGAACGTGCCTTCACGGTCCCCTAAGTAATAATAGGTATTGACATAAATAGTTCCCGGGGGACATAAGTGACATAATAGGGTAATGATAACATATTCTCTGACAAAATAATAGAATGCGCGCCCCCGGGAACGCGCCTTCACGGTCCCCTAAGGAATAATAGGTATTGACATGAATAGTTCCCGGGGGACATAAGTGACATAATAGGGTAATGATAACATATTCTCTGACAAAATAATGGAAGGTGCGCCCCTGGGAACGCACCTTCACGGTCCCCTAAGGAATAATAGGTATTGACATGAATAGTTCCCGGGGGACATAAGTGACATAATAGGGTAATGATAACATATTCTCTGACAAAATAATGGAAGACGCGCCCCCGGGAACGCGTCGTCATGTGAATAGTACCCCGGTTATAGGCACTATTATATGCAACATATTATAAACTTTCAAAACAAACTTCAGTTCACAAGCTTTGAAATTCTCAAACTCTAAATTTCTCAAAAATCTCAATCCTCTATTCTCTGAAAATGAGTCGTTTTTCTGCTGTTGTTTTGTATGATAGAGTAATTAAACAAGCTGAAGAGGGGGTTGTTTTTGAGTCAGATCATTATACCCCCTTAACCTTGAAGAGAAACATCACTCTTGAGGAGTTAATCATAAAAATTTCGTTAAAGATTCGTGTAGCAGGCCGGAGAAGACTATCTTCACTTCAGTACAGATTTCATACTGAACTTTTTCCGCTCACGTATACATCATTTCAGCTTTCAAACGATGATGATGTTTCTATGATGGTTGATGCTCATATGGGAAGTTCACAATCTCTTATTGAAATGTATGCGTCTTTTATTGAGGTTCGTGCTTCTCGTGGTCTCCCATATTCCTCTCACTTTGGCATTGTATATTAAGCTGATCAAGTTGATAGCCCGACACAACTGATTTGTAATGATTTACATCATTAATGGCAGATCCAATACCAGATGACATGCCATCAAGTTCAGTAGGAAGGCATTCATCTGCAACTGCTTATGATCTCAACCCAAGTGGTTTCACTATAATCCATATGGCAACATCTCTTCTACTTCAAGGGGTAGACATTCATCTGCCAATGTTTTCGACTTACAAATGGAAATGCCAACGAGACGACAGTCTATTCACATCCCATATGATACAATGGCCTCAAGTTCAAGGGGAGGACACACAAGCGGGAACTTATTTGACCTCAACATTAGATTATCGGAGGAACCATCATCTCCACTAGAAGAACCTCTTCGGGAGCCAAGTGCAGATGGTTCTGAAACGGGATTATTCGTTGAACCTGACTCACCACAGTTTAACGTACATTCTGATGATGACGAGGATGACGTTTCGATAAATACAACACCAGTCGAACTTCTTGCACATATGTATGGGGTTGATTATGATGCAATATATGAGCCCAAATTTCCGGATCTTCCTGATGTTGGCAACTATGGACTTCAATCAACAGTTAATGATGGTGATTTACATATTAGAATGGAGTTCGCATCGAAGGAGGAAGCAATGATGGCAATAAAGAGTTACAATATTCGTAACTCAGTTCAGTCCCGAGTTGACCGATCTAACACAGAGAAATATGTCTGCTACTGCGTCCAACGTGACAACGGATGTCAATGGATGGTTCGTGTATCAAAGAGGAAGAGGAAGAACAACTTATGGGAACTAACCAGATACAACGGTCCTAATACGTGTTGTGCAAGAGGTATAAACCAGGATCATCCCAACTTGGACTCCAACATTATTTGCCAAGCAATCATGCCCATTAAGAAGCAAAGCTCTCATATAGCTGTTGCAGTATTGATTTCTGCTATACAGTCACAATATGGGTACACCGTCTCATATAAAAAAGCTTGGTTGGGAAAACAGAATGTCATTTGCAAACTTCATGGCGAATGAGATTCATCTTACAACGAGCTGTCAGTTGGTTTCATGTTGTGCAAAGACTCAAACCCGGGACAATTGTTGAGTTCAAAACTCAACATCATTACGTGAATGATCGAGTGGTTCGTGATCGCTGCCAATTCTACCGTGTCTTTTGGACTTACCCTCAGTGTATTAATGCAGTCAAGTATTGTAAACCAGTTGTCCAAATTGATGGTACTTTCTTGTATGGGAAATACAAGCAAGTTTTATTATTGGCGTGGTCCAAGATGGAAACCACAATATTCTTCCCACTGCGTTTGCCCTCGTTCAAGGAGAAGACACTGAGTCTTGGGCTTTTTTCCTTAAAAATTTACGTTTACATGTTGTCACCAGGGAACGAGTATGCATTATTTCAGACCGAGGAGCCGGGATAAAAGCAACAATGGACTCTTTGGGTACAATGTATAGACCTCCACATGTTCAACATCGTTATTGTGTCAGTCATATTGCTGCAAACTATTACGGAAAATACAAGAAGAACGATGAAAGTCAATTAGTCGTGCGGATGGGTATGTTACTTTTCCCCGATTTTTCTATCATTTTCGTATTACTTATTTATACTTCATATTAACTATTACATATTCCTAATGGCTTAGGTTACGAACTCTTACCTCAAAGGTTTGAGTCGATGCTACAAGAGTTGTTTGGCAAAAATAAGAAGGGGTGCGAGTACATTATGGACATCAGCAAAGAAATGTGAACAAATGCGTATGACAGGGGGTATCGCTATGGTCATATGACAACAAACTTGGCTGAAGCAATAAATTCAACCTTAAAGGGGCGCGTCATTTACCAGTCACTGCATTGGTCAAAACGACTTATTTTCGTTTGGGTCAACTCTTTGCAAAACTCGGTGGACAAACTCTTACTTGGATGCAAAACGGTCATATTTACCACCCATGACTAGTAGCTGATTTACAGAAAAAAAAGTGGCTGCATCAAATGGGATGTTGGTTACAAATTTTTCTCGCACCCGTGAATTATTTCGTGTAACCGAAATACCACGTCCGTTGCAAGGGATTGAAGCTAACTCTTTCAGAGTTAATCTGCATGAGAGATGGTGCGATTGTGGTTTCTTTCAAGCACTCAAATATCCATGCTCTCATGTCATTGCAGCTTGCTCACATTCGCATTTGGACTACACAAATTATGTTGATCCCGTATACCAACTTTCACAAGTATTCAAGGTATATGAATTTGAGTTTCCGCCCATAGGAAACGAAAGAGACCCAGATGAGATTCAAACTTGGCTTACAATTGTACCAGATCTATTGCTATTGAGGGACTCAGGTCGTCCAAAATCTACTAGAATACATTGTGATATGGATATTCGGGAGAAGACAACAGAACTAAAACGATGTGGGCATTATAGAAACATTGGACACAATAGAAAAAATGTACAGCTCTATTATCATCACATAATCGTTAACCCTTATGTAACCTAATATTCTATTTAAATGAATGTTTTTGTTTCTAATATTTAAATGTAATTGCATTTTCTATAATTTTTCAATGTATAATAATAATAACAGATTAAATGTGTAATTATACTAATTTTATTAACTTATGCATCAATATTTTGGTTAAATAATAATAACAGATGACTAGATTGATAATATTTAAATAATTAAGTGATCAAATTAATAGATCGATAATCAAAATAAAAAATAATAATATAATCATACGTGTAATATAATAATTTTATACATTTTTCATATAACTACAATAAAATAAAAACTAGTTTTCATCTGTTGTTCTATCCGATTAATGTGGATAATACACTCCACCTTTAACACACATTAAAAAAATACATTCGATAATTATTAAATTATAACTGAAACAATTTACATAATATATTAATAATTTATAATAACAATAACAATAAAATTTTTATTTTTAAAAAAAATATCGCGGCAACTGAATCAGCAAAATAAAGGTAAAGCGTGTCCCTGAGGATGCGCTTTTCACACGTGGCATCCAACTCGGTGTAAAACCAGGTAAAGCGCGACCCCAGGGATGCGTCTTTCGCCACCTCAACCGAAATAGTGACACTTCGAGAAATATAGAACAAACGGTGATAAAAAAAAATATTCGATTAAATAATGTCATTTTAGTCAAATCGTACTTTTTTTTTCATCAACAGAGGGTCGGGAAAAGTTTATTATTTATGTAATTTAATGTAATTTTAAAAAATAAAAAAATATTTATGTAATTTAATTTAATTTTAAAAAATAAAAAAATAAATGTTAAAATCCTGGAAAATTAGAGGAAGGAAAAACACATCATCCTTTGTAAAATACAAAAATCCGCTTGATTTAAACCGGTGCCTTGTGCACTATCTAATTGCAGAAATAAGAAATGGACAGGTTAAGAAAAAACAACGAAGGAGTATAAATTACGGTATAAGGAAAAATCAATAAAATTCGGAAGGAAAGATAATTAAATTTAGCAATCGATTTCGACTTTGGGAATTGGGATTGAGGAGTTATTCTCAAGATTTGACAAATTATAGAGTCTTTGATTTGATTTCGAGGGTTGAGGCTTAAGGAGGATCCTTCCCTTTGCCTTCATCCTTAAACTTTTTGCAGTCACTCTTTATACAATTTTCTTCTTCTGTTTTTGATCGGACCATAAATCTGATTAGACAGGATCTCATGGCCACCACTGGAAACAAGAACATCAATGCTAAATTAGTCAGTTTTCTCTCTGTTTTAACCCATCCTTTTGCTTCCTATAATAGTTTTCTTTTAGATATTACTAGTGTTTCGTGCTCTCGCCTCTCGGCCTTTTTTAGATGCTCAATTCTAATCTGGATCTTGATTAATTGTGTGGGTAATGCTTGATTTTTAATTCTTGATTCTAGTATTTTTGCAAATTATTGTTTTGATTCTGGTAGTTTCAGAGCTGATTAAATCCCTTACAAGGTTCATTTTTTTTTCTTTTGCTCTCTTTTTATGCATCTGATTTAGATTGGTTTAGTTTAGCAAGCACCAAAACTTTGTACTCGTCTTCTTAATTCTACAATGTTTGTCCGACTTTCGCGGATATGCTTATTTTTGGCTAATTCTTTAGGATTTACTGTTTTTCAGGTTGTGTATATATGTTGATATGTAATTCCGAAACTTCATCTCATTAGCTTCTATATGCATGTATAATGTAAATTATTTCTGTTTCATCTGCGATGATGCATCTAAACATGTCTAGAATCTGAGTGACGTTAGTTTGAACTTTGAAGTGGTGTTGTTGTTGTATCATGCATGTATTATCTATTAATGCATATTATATTCTTCAGGTTCTACTTGGGGATGTTGGAACTGGAAAGTCTAGTCTAGTGTTGCGCTTCGTTAAAGGGCAATTTGTTGAATTTCAGGTTGGGAGCTGATATTGGTTTATGCGAGTTAGAACCTTATTGATTAGAAATTCATTTATGATTATATAGCTCGACATTTATGTTATAATGATTTAGGAATCAACCATAGGTGCAGCTTTTTTCTCCCAGACGTTGGCTGTGAACGATGCAACTGTAAAGTTTGAAATTTGGGATACAGCTGGTCAAGAGAGGTACCATAGCTTGGGACCAATGTATTACAGAGGAGCTGCGGCTGCGATCATTGTGTATGATATAACAAATCAAGTAAGTTTATGATGGCTAACCAATGTCTTCACTATTTGTTTTGGTCATTTAACACTAACTGCCCCTTGCATTAATTTTGACACTGGGCGGTGAAACATTAGAACTTTATGAGCACTTACTCAAGGTCTATTTTCATGGTCTTTGCAACATAGAGTTTTACTTAGGTTGTCTGGTTGATGGCTCTATCAAGAATACTTGTTGAATATTTCCTTTTTTTGGATATTAGTAGAGATGTGGGTGACATATAGTTCACTAAATTGTAATGGCATTTTTCTTATCTTGTAGGCATCATATGAGAGAGCCAAAAAATGGGTCCAAGAACTTCAAGCGCAAGGTATCATTTTCTGTTACTTGAAGACATTGAAAAGTGTTTATTCTCTTATTTTTATCCTCATAACATGTTTATTTAAGTGCCATGGTTATTGAATTTATTCTTTAATTTTGAATTTATTCTTTAATTTTGAATTTCTTCTTTTTGTTTCCCTTTTCCCCTGAAGGCAATCCTAATATGGTAATGGCACTTGCTGGGAACAAAGATGATTTACTTGATGCAAGGAAGGTGGCAGCAGAGGTAAGTTATCATTTTTACTTCTTCACTTTTACCTTAAAATCTAAACATGATAATATAACTGTTAATCAGTAACTCTGAGCATCATTTTGAGGGTAGAATGGCTTTTAGGATTATTATAATTTTGAGTTTTTGGCATTTAGATTCATGCTTCAGTTTTGTTTTGATTTCAACGTGCATGCTTATCAGTTTGTCTTGTTATTCTCCTTGGTAACCCAGGAAGCACAAACTTATGCTCAGGAAAATGGTCTTTTCTTCAAGGAAACTTCTGCAAAGACAGCATCCAATGTTAACGAGATTTTCTATGAAATAGGTGTTTTATTTGTTACTTTCTTAAGTTTCCAATAAGAACGCAGTATTTCTTGTATGAACTGCCACTTGACTGATTTTATTTTGTGCAGCCAAAAGATTACCTCGAGTGCAGCCAGCACAAAATCCTGCTGGAATGGTTCTCATGGATAGGACTGTAGAACGAAATGCAAGTGCAACTTGTTGCTCTTAGGCACTGTGTTTTAAAAGGCGTGAGGCGCTCCAAGGCGATTAGCTACCCGAGAGCCTCAATTTTTTGAGGCGCTTTGAGGCGAGAGATTCACGTACGCGAGGCGCTTAATTTTACAAAACATTTGTAAATATTTTATAACCATATCTCAAACACAAAACAACTTAATAAGCAAAAAAACCAAGTAGCATAGGTCATATTGTATCTCAAAAAGATAAATAAAAACATCATCAATAATCAAAATGCCTAAAACTCGTCTTCATCATCATCGTCATCAACATCAATCCCAAGCACCTCCTCCTCCCCATCATCTTCGGAAAGTCCAATATCCTGTTCTATCTCTTCATCGTCTTCATCAATCAAATTTAGTCCAGTAGAGGGCCTTCTACGAGTGGAGGTTTGGGCAACACCCTTTCCTCTATCTCTTGATGAACTTGATGTAGATGTTCTTCTAGTGGAATAAGTAGCTTGAGATGCCCCATAAGCTTTATCAACAGCAGACCATGTTAAATCATCTCCATCAAAGACAAAGTCGTCCTCCTCACCATCTTCATCGTCCATATGGCCCATCAACCACTCGTTGCTTTCATCTATTTCCTTCAAAAGAATAGGATCTGTGGTGTCCTTTCTTTGATATCTTCGTCGCAAAGCACGATTAAACTTGACATACACCATGTCATTTAAACGACTTTGTGCCAATCTATTTCTCCTTTTTGAATGAAGTTGTTGAAAAACGCTCCAGTTCCTCTCGCAACCCGTAGCACTACAAGTTAGGCTAAGAACTCGGATTGCAAATTTCTGTAACTCCGGTGCTGAGGCTCCATATGCAAACCACCAATCCGCTATTAACATATAAAATAAATCAAGATTTAATTTTGTGAGGTATGATATATATATATATATATATATATATATATATAATATACATATATGCGTCTGTGTGTGTGTGTTTTTTACCTGGAGCTCTTTTCTTTCTTTGTCTTACAGCCATCGGATTGCCAAAAAGACCTTGGGCATTTTGATACAAGTCTAATTGTTCCCCAATCTTATCTTGAGTGCTCAAATCAGGTACCAGCCTTTGAATGCAAGCATACAACCCGTTCATAACCTCTACACATTGCATTCTCCGGATTCTCGTAATACATTTCCGGATTTAAAAAAAACCCCGGCTGCATGCAATGGCCTATGAAGTTGGCAATCCCACCTTGCATCAATATACTCAAAAGCTTTCTTATAGTTTTCTTCTTTGTGTAAAAAACTAAGAGCGATAGTCTCTTTAGCCTTATCCGTGGACTCATAGATATATCCCATGGTCGGCTTTTTGTCTCCATCTACCATTCTCAATACCTTGACAAGAGGTCCTGTCAACTTCAAAGCATACACTATATTTCTCCAAAAGCGTTCTTGCAAAATAATTGATGTTAGTCTCTTCCCAGCAGGATCGTTTGACCACTTGGTATTGTTCCATTCTGAAGACGTGATCATCTTTCGCAAATTGTTTTTTTGCTTATGCATCTGGGCGAGAGTGATGAACGATGTTGCAAATCTGGCGATTGCGGGCCTATGTAGGTTTCTTTGATTTGTAAACCTCCTCATCATGTTGACAATGCCAACATGGTTATAGATATAACCAATCGCTGAATTAAGCATGAATGGAGGAGGGAGAGAAAATTTTAGGAGGGAAAAGAAGCTCCAGGGTATGCATCGGAGAAACTAGAGAGCTTGGATCATGATTTATAGACATACAGTAATTAAAAAATTGGACGTTAGAAGGTCAAGAGACAGTTCAAAGTTCCAGGAATACATTAATGTAAGTAATTGGAATTTAAAAGGTCTGACTGTTGGAAGATTAAAAGGTCTGACTATTGGAAGAAAATCGAGCCCAGACCCAAAATTTAAAAATGGGTCATTGTATGTGAATCGCTAAAAGCATCGCCTCGTCGCCTCTCGCCGCCTCCGACGACTGAATCGCCGCCTCATGTACTCGCCGCCGCCTTGGTGGTCGGAGGCTTTTTTCTAAACGCCTCGCCTCGCCTAGCGCCTCAAAGCGCCTCAGGCGTGCTTTTTAAAACACAGCTTAGGCATTTGCTGTTTCCTTTCTGTATCTTCTAAGTAGCTCATATAATGTTCTCTGCAATCAAAGTTTTATCTTTCATACTTGTTTTGGTGTACGATTCATTTAGAGTTGTACATGCATGTTGTCTAGACACGATGATACCAACCCGTTAATTGTGTTGGAGATTGATTATTCTTGTAATTGAAGTTCGGTATGGTTATATTTAGCTTCCATATTCAGTTACAACACGATATGGCTGCTCGATTACAATCTGTTGACATGGTTGCTCGATTACAAGCCTGAGATAATTATCAAGTCTGTATTGCTTGATAAATTGAATTCTCAACTCGGTATGCATTAAGGGATTGTTGGAGCTCACTGCGGTGGGTTTTTGGCTCGTTCAGTTTTGTATTTAGTGAAAGATGCAATAACGTCTGCTGCTGCTTTTGATTGGTTATTCTATTAGGAAGTCATGCTTTAGGAGTTGCAGGGACTTCAACATACTAAAGCCTAAAATTTCCTCCTAATTAATTAAGTGCATGACTGGGGACAGTCATTTAACCCAAACCTTATGGAATCTGACTTTATTCGGTCTTCTTTTTTTCGAAATTCGAATTTAGATCATATCAGATTTAAGTTTACGGTGAAAAATCTCATTCCAAGACATTAGTATAATTATCTCTAATGTACTTGGGCAATTAGACAATTATATCCTTATTTTATCAAATAAAAGTAAGATTTCTTAATAATATCCTTATTTTATCAAATAAAAATAAGATTTTCTCAATTAGATCCTTAATTGATTTAAAATAAAAGTATAATAGAAGATGTTTACATATGTGTATATCTTTGTCTCAAAAAATAGGTCAGATTTTAGGTCGAAAAGGAAATCATGAATAATGTAACAACTGAATATATATGATGTTTAAATGGCTTAATACCAAAATAAGTACCTAAATTATACCACTTTTTCTGAATAAGTGTTTGAAGTATTTTTTAACTCATTTCGGTGCCTAACGTTACAACTTTAGGTGCCCAGACCGTTAGCGGTGTTAATTTATCTCGTTAAGTGACATGTGTCACAATCTGTTATTAAAAAATTTATTTAAAATTAAAAGAAATAAAATTATATATTTTAAAAAACACAAATTTTGAAATAACTCCAAAACTTTGAAAACCTTCATTTCAACTCCTATACCAATGTCAGCCGCCTCCCTTTGCCATCGAAGAACCTCCACCCGACTTCACATCCCCACAACGACCAAAATCCCTATGAAATCTTGATCGATAGACGACCAATCGACGACGAATTGACGTTTTATACCTCCCGAACCCGAAGGTGAAAATCACGATCTCACGCGACTCCGACGGCCAATCGGCGACAACTACGATGACTTATGATTAGGAGGATGGTAGGGACTATGTCAATAGCAATGGTAATGGCCAGAAAAGGCGACCGCATATTAAGGTTAGAATTTGGGGATTTTAGAGATTTTTTTATAATTTAAGAGAAATTAGGGTTTTTTCTTTAAATATAATATATTTTTTAAAATTTTTTAAATATAAATTTCGAAATTACCCAATTGTAACACGTCACTTAATCGTTGATGGTCCAAGCACCTAAAATTATAACATTTGTAATGCTAAACACCTGATTAAATAAAAAAAATACTTTAAGCATTTATTCAGAAAAAAATATAGTTTAAACATTTATTTCGGTATTAGTCCTATTTAAATCGATAAAAAAAACCTGGATTTACCTAATCCATGTCCCTGCTTAAATATACAGTTTTTTCATTGGATTGGTTTAACCGATCCGACCTGTGTCATTATGATGTAGGCATGGATTAAAATATTTAGTGCTGAAACAGTATATACATTGAACTAAAACAATAAATGACAAGTTAGGATTGGTTTTGAGTACTAAAAGTTACATCTCTAACACCAAATCATGTCAAACTCAAATATCTTGTTCTCAGATTTTTTCACCTTTCTCCATCTTTATACATTGGGGAAAATACACAAATCCCTGGCAGAACAATAATTGAATATTAATTACCGCCGTCTACTTCCTTTGTCCGTGATTGCCTCTTTGCTAAAGTCTTCACCAGACCTTTAATAATCTTCCCAAACCACATCATGTTCAAGATGCCTAATGCGGATGGCACGCCGAAAACCAAGACGAAGCCAAAGGTATGCATCTTCATCACCTACTGAGTCGATCAAACTTAGAACAGATATTGACATGTTCAGTCTAAGATAAAGCTGATATGTTTAGTTTAATATAAAGCTTTATTTTTGTGTATCCATGGCATGACTGAACATATGTACTTCAAGAAAAATGAAGAATTCGGGCGATTTTAATTGTTTGGTTTTAATGCATTTTTCTCTTTAACTATTCTTAGCAACAATCAGATATTGGCAAAAACCAATTCCTCGGAAAGTATTAGTTAATGCAGCAAAGTAGATGAAGACCCAAAAAAATACAATTAAAGCTAAAAACTAAGGGAGGTGAAAGTACCTGATCATAATGCAAGTACACATGGTAGAACATGTATCCAAACAACAAAACTCTCGCAATCTGCGATCAGTAAGTTACTTCAGCTTAGGTTAAAAGTTCGGGGACCTTATTGAAAATTAAAAAAAAGAGAGAAACTTCTGCTATCTTTGCTAGCAATGATATGAAACATCGGTAAAAAAGCTTTTGATGGCCATCTATGGCCAATTATCGATTCAACTTATTCCCTTCTTTTTTTCGTAACTGAGAAAGTTGAACTCACCAGCCAGCCAATAAAGATGACGATTCCATTAATAAGATATGCAGTGGACTGTTTCATACCAGCTGTATCAAGGTACCTTCAATCATAGAAATCATTAGATGATTTTCGATCGAATTTTCTACACACAAACATAATCTAGTAAACTTACCATCTCAAATGGATCTCTGGGGTTGTCACCTCAGATATAAGAACCATGTATGTATACAGCTGAGCTTCTCCGGTAAACATCGAATATGCCACTGCGACTCCAGAAAGGATGTGACGGATAACCTGTAATCAGATCACAGTACCTTGTTAATCATTCCCCATGAACATACGGTTACCAGTTTTATGTAGATTCAACTTAAGTCAAAGTTACTCCAAAAATTAATTGAACGGAATCCTTTGACCTAGAACCATAACAACCATATGCTCACATACTTTCTGTTGCAATTTAGTTATGAATCAAATGAGTTTATCATAAGTTGAACGGTGTAAGGAAACAACTGACTACATAAAGATACATTTTACAGTAGCAAAAGTTGAACTGTTACTAATATTATTGTTCCTTACAACAGTAACGAGATAGACAAATGAATGAAATGTGTGCCATAGTGCTTTCCGTGTAGAGAATACACTTACATATTATATTCCACCTAAAGCTGGATATTGCCATAAAGTCATAGCAAGATCCGAAAAGAAGTATCCAAGAGAAACCTGTGAAATATAACAAATGTTTACACCAAAATAAGCTATCCACAGATAATGGTTGAACCACTTCAAGGTCACATAAGAACGTTAAAACTTACCCCTAGCCCAAAAGTAGAGAGTTGAGCTTCTGAAGGCAATAAGGCCCGAAAGCTGTGGTCGGAAAAGAGGTCTGAGCAGAAAACGAAGTACAATGACAAAGAAGAAATGAAAATGGCATGAGTAGTAGAGATGCCTCTGCCAAAATTATGTTAATAACCAATGAGAGAATGAACATGATTACAGAAGCAAAAGAAATGAAAAGAAAAGTGCATGCACAACACTAACCGGTTGTTCCAATCTACTTTTTGAATTTTAGTAAGAGTAGGGTAAGTCTTGATGTAAAAGCTGCTGATTAAGTCGGTCAGATCATAGACCTATGCAAACGTAAGTTCAATAAAGGAGTTCAAAGGAAAAACAATCATGTAACAACATCAAAATAGACACAAATAATATGAAATATGTGAAACTTATTCCTGCAAGCTTTCATTAATGGGTACATCCTTCAATAGGGGAAAAAGTCAGCATACCACTTTGCAAGCAAGAATGCCACAGAGGATGGAAGTATAAGGAATGAAAGGATCAGCCAATAAGTAATTCTTAACCAACATGTGAGCCTGAGTTTTGTAAGACTTTAATGTCATGGTTGTCTGTTTAGTCATTGCTTCCTCAAAATCAACTTAGCAGAAAGGGTACCTTCTCCTAGTTTTGTCCCTCCTCCATTCATCAATTCTATCAGAAATACAAATAATGGCAGTCAGGAGAAAAAGAAAAAGAGGAAATTCTTCAATCATGCCAATTTCAGAATAAAGGGTACCAGCCATATGGTCCTATAAGCAAAAACAAAAAGGAGATAAATATTCAAAGCAGATACCAATAACCATCCTAATCTAAGAAATATCAGATATAAAATTTTCTCCATCTAAAGACGACTCCAATTCAATCAAACAAACAAACATTTTCGTTTCAGAAAAGCAAATGTAAATACAATGGAAAAGGCATTAAATTTATATCCCTATGAAAAGCACACGAAGAACATTGGCATGAAAAGTATAAGGCAAAATTAAAGGTAATATTATAAAAGCAAGGAGGCTCAGAAATGGGATGCATGTGGGAACCATAAGCAATGCTCAACATATTTGAGGAAGCAACCGTGAAATTAAAAGAAAAAGCAGGTGGGTATGTAAAGAGGAAAAGAAAAACTAATTTTTGAAACAGAAAACTCAAACCAAGGGGCAGAAAAAAGGTTTCTTGAGGAAAAACTAAGGCCAATCAGTGCAATGCCAGAGACCCAGAAAGGAGAAAAGTTCAAACACAAAAGGAAATCAAAGAAAAAAAGAAATGACCATGAGAAACAAAAGCTAGTTTTCCAAGGAATGCCAAAATCACGAGGTAAAAAGGAAGGGAAATCAATTCATATTATCATTTGGATGCCAAGAAAAATAAATGTAGCACCTACCTTAAAATTTGATCAATGTGGGAGAAGTACTTTGAATCTCCAACTCCAACAAATTCAATAAATGAAAGAAAATCAAAGGAAGTGGATTTCTGGATAGTTGGAGGTGATGGGATTGGAAGATGAAATTATTGGTGTGTTAGTTTATCCTTGAAAACTTGGGGGCGATGAGAATGAGATTAAAAAATGGTGAATGCTTGAAACTTGTTTTTCTTTTTTGGGAATTTGGATTTTGGTCTCACAAAATTATGAT